GGGGGCGCTGCGGACCACCGCGGGCGCCGACAGGTCAAACGATCTGACGTGACGGGGATCTACAAAGTCATCGCCATCGCTGTCGTCATCGACTCGGTCCCTTGGGTTCTCCGTGAAGGGCTGAAGGGCTGGGGTCTCGGCGACCTTCCTGGACGGTCCTGGCGTCGGCTCTATGGCGGAGCTGGCCTCCGCCTTCAGGGTGGCAAACCATCCAGATGGTGTATCACGTTGTCCTGCCAAGAAATAACAGTCCAATGATCCTTTGAAAATCAGCTGATGTCGTTGGAAGAACGTAATGCGCGTCATCCCAAAATTATGTGCAATCTACAGAGACGACTGACTTTATCATGGCTGACTTGGTGTCTGACCAATTATTTCAGCGTGATCCTGTTTGTAAGCTATGCCATTTTCTAAATTTGAATGCCCTGAAAACGTTTAAGTCTCCCACGGTTTCTCAACATGTTTTGACCTATCATAAACACCCGCTGCAAGTATTCTTTGCAAAACGTAGTGCAGCTTATGTGAAGCACACGGACGGTGGAACAATGACCAGAGTGCTGATTTCCTGTAGCAAATCACCTTGAAACCTCACACTCTGCATAGAACTTCAAAACCTTTCATTCTAGTGGTCATACTTTGGGCAACCCTTTCCACGCACGGGGTATCCGGTGCTAGGATGCAGTAGCGAGATGTACTACTGTGCTGATGCTCCTGGGGCATGTATTTCTAACCCCATGTTTGGTTGTGGTCATCAAGAGCTTTTGGCTTAGCAATCTGTATCTCCTGTGGTCATAACCTTTAGTACCAGGCATCAGGCATTATAATGTGGGAGCTGGAATGATTGTTTATTTTCGGTGTCTATTGTCAGGGTCTGCACAGATTTGGAAAGTTCCCTTTTTTACTGTCTACAAGTCAATGGTTACATCTATGTTGTAAATAGGCATGTGAGACCACAAGTACTCATTTGAAAGGATGTTAAAAGCATGCTGGAGCCATGAGCATGTTAAACTTGAGTTTTTGTGAACCAAAGCCGGAACACTATTTCATAGCAGTCAGTGATATTTGATTATTCAAGCACACAGATCAAAATTATTAAGTCTAGACGTCATCACTGCTCGTACACATTTAAAATGATCAGCAAAAACTCAATGCATTATGTTTCTTGAAAAATATAGATGTTGGAAAATAGTCCTGTTATGTTCTATCTTATTGCACATGTATTCAACTAGTTATTTCTGAGAGAAAATCATTTAAATGTGACAGATGATAACATTAATATAAGCCCAGATTGCATAAAACACACATAGCATTTGGCATGTCAGGGGTAAGGATAGATTATGTACAGCAAAGCAGTGACATCATGGGAACAATTTCAGCACATACCCTCTAAATCCAAGAGCTCATAATTTAGCACACAGGTGCCACCAACTCCAATGGCAAGAGAGTCAATGTTTCAAGGAATTATGATGTCACCAAGGTAGTTTCAGGAAGACAAATGCCAAAACATATTTTTACACACCAATAATTTGAAAATTCAATGTGATTCGGCCTGGCTAGAGTTTCACATCCCAATGTGTAGATCCAAGCATGGATGTCTTGTAGGTGTCCGGCGAAACAGATTATTTTTTTCTGACTGTATGCAGACATTTTGTGCTATGATGACTTCAGTCAGTAAACCTTTGCATCACTTCCTATCACTGTACACTTTGTACTTTGTCACTTTGTACAATTATTTGCTAAATTTACTAGCAGATTAATTAGAATAGTCAATTTTCCATCAAAACAGCAGTATGCCAAGAAAAAGGAACACTGTTGGATATTACAATATAATGTACCATATGGTATAAGGAAAATTACTGGGTACGCACTTAGAATTCCGGGCGGCTATACACATGGCCAATACAAATGTTATGACACACAATAGCTGTTTAAAACCAGACCCAATCTACCCGATTACACCCAAAACTTACCTCTGTGAGCATGATCAGACTGCAAGGTCTGCCCCATGCAGGGATGATCAGTCATTAGCAGCACAACTAAATCCAAAGGAAGACCCACACAAAATGCAGATAACCCCCAAGTCCCACAGTAATGCTATGATGCCAAAGCCCAACCTAGGTTATAGAAACGCGTTTTTAATACTTGTGCGCCAGAAATGTGGCGAAACATGACGAACCAGCGGGAACCGGTCAGCACTAGTCCTCACGTTGTTTACATGGGTTGCCTAGAAACGCATGCACGAGAAAATATATGCTCGCCGCTGAAGGCCAACGGGCGCTGAACGAGTGCTGTGTTTGAGATTTTTTCGGCCGGAGTGAAAACGGATCTTCGAATGAACCATCATTGTGAGTGCCGTCCAGTGTTGGTTAGGCTGGCTGAGCGTGGGTGAGCTCATTGAGCACCGAGTAGGCATGCAACATTGTAACCACGTGATCATTTAAGAACCAGCTCAAGCAGTACCGCTGTTTCAATCAAACTGCATTGCGCATGGTATTCACATAACCGGCGTTTCGTTTGCCATACGTTCAAATTGTGGTGGGATCGGGAGGGTCGCTTTCCCTTCACAGGCGCAACGGCTTGGAGTAGATCACTCCAGGAGTATAGCAGGTTCACAATGCGTGCTCAGTGAAACAAACGAGAAAAAATGTATTTCAAAGAGAAGCGAAATTGCCTGAGCAAATTTACGGCATAGTTGAGGACCATGTCTTACATAGTGCGTGGAGGGGTACTTATGTTTGGTTGTACATTACCTGAAATGCATACATTTTGCCGATAACATTTGGATTTGTCGAGAAGGTCCGTGCAAAGTGGTTGCGATAGAAACGCATATTATGGACAGTTCACTTTTGTCAATACATAGATCAATAATTAACAACTTACTTGAGTTCACAATTAGATATACATATATTTCACATGTCCGTATACAAAAGGGAGGTGCGACCTCTTTTACACAAAAGTGGCGTACTTCTAAACAGATGATTCAGACTCAGGCTTCCATACGTGATTGTTGTGAATAAGCACACTTAAGCTGTAAAAACGCGTAGTAAATGTGTTATATATATATATATATATATATATATATATATATATATATATATATATATATAGTGAATGCAATCCGAGAACTTCATCATACCTGTCCTATTTTGGCGACTACCACGACTTTGGCCCCCCGATCATTTTGAAAAAGCGGCACCCATGGAGAGAGGTTTGGATCTAAGGACAGGACTGTGCACTGCGCCGAACGATCTTCAAGATGGCGATCTCAGCTCAAAACCCCGTAGAAATGTGAAATACTCTCTTTAAGATAAGACATAAGAAGTCCAGAGGATTTGTAAAGAATGTGTACGGAACAGTGTAGAAATTAGATGGCGAATTAGATGCTCAACTTTTCTGTTCAATATCAAGCTGGATTTGCTTGTCCCCCCCCCCTCGAAAAAACCGGGTCAAGGACAGAACTTTGCGTGGAAAGCCTGACGAATCGCAAGTCTCAGCACGTTACATGACCTTTTCCGTGACGTGACTGCTTGACGTGTCGTAAATCGGCACATTCCCAATCCTCTTACGTTACCTGACCTTTACGCGGCCGTTTCGCCGAGCTACGGAAAGGAAGGCGACGAAAGCGAAGGGGAACATCGATGCGTCGAGATGTCTGGTTTTGAGTTTAAGTGCTTAGAATGCTCTCGTGGGGCTAATGGATTGGAATGTAAGGATGTGGTTTCTATTCGTTGAGGAGGCACTGGCAGGGCCTATGTTAAGAGAGGGGGATTTGTGTCCGGGTGACACGTAACGAAATTTGCGTACTAAAGTGAAACCGCTATCATGACGACAGCTGCAAACACAACATTCATGTTCCAGTCTTTTTTTAGAATCAACTGCCCTTCGTGAGAAGCAAGTTTAGCCCCGGACTGCAGGATGAGGTCGGCTACAAATATGAAAGCACACAGAATTTCTGTACTCGCTCCGTATTCAAACAAGGCTGTCATGAAACATCCCATCAGCGTTAATGTGCGTCTGTCTGTATGCCTCTCTACCTATCTGTCATCTTTTGGTTTTTAATCCGTGTGCAGGTTAAACAGAGCAGCGAGATCCTAACATTTTCACAGCACACATATACAAGCATGAGGTGTGTGCATGTGGTTAGACGACGTCCTACGGAGATTGATTGGCGTTTTGCGTTGGTGGGAAGACCCATTCTTAAGGCGATAGGGTTGCTTTTAACGCATGCGTGAACCAAGCTGAGCGATTATCAAGCCGTCGACTCTATTTTGCTGCGCGACCAGTGGCGAATCTTTGCATCCCCATTTGTAGGAAGATGCTGATTTACACCAAAAGCACTGACGATGTGGGCCACTGAGGTGCAGTAAGCATTTAATTTGTCTGTCCAATTAGGTGCTTTATCAGCAGGATTAGCAGCTTTTTTGGGTGCATTCGTGCCTGCCGTGATGAAGCGTCGGATGTAAGGCCAGGCATATTCATCAGATGTTCTTCAGAGTCGCTTTGAAGTACTCCGAGCAAACTTTGTATTGGAGACTCTTCACAGCATTTCTACAACGCCTGAACTGCTCACGCTTGTGCTCACACGGTTGTAAATCACGGCATTTTTGTGTAGTCTCTTTCTTCCATAGTGGATCACAGCCCTCCTATTTTTGGCCAAGGAGCGTGACACCCGTACGCGGGTTAGCGTCATGTGCTTGCCAATACTTGCGGTTCCAGGCAGCGAAATATGTGCTGTAATCAAGGGCTAGAAGGTTATTGGTCACCGCTTGGGCCGTTCATGCGCTATAGCAAGAATGCTCCGCATGTAAGACCCGTTGGCCATCCATCAGAGCATTTACCCCCCCCCCCCCCCCTCCCCCGGTCGGTCGAGGTCAATAACGCCGGGGCGGAATCACGTAAAGACGTGGACCTGGCCCAGCCAACATGTAGTGTCATGTCATTCAGTGGGATGGTACTCCAGTGGTACAAATAGCGTAGTTTTGGGTAATTTATTACACTTACAGAGCATGCTGACACAAAATACGCAAAGTCGTGCCGATGTGTTTCCGTCCTACATCATACGCACCACTCCGGTTTCGTATATGACACATACACTGAACTACAAAGCTACACAACAAAAATAGACATTCTTAAACATGAAAACGATTGACATAAATACAGCTATACGTGAACATTTCAAGTGCATTAGGTCACAGTTTAACGCCCCAAAAACCCACCGCATGAAGCAATGCCGTCACTTTGTTCATCACGACACCATTTTCATTAAAAATAACACTACAATGATACCATATCCCTGTTCTGGTATTATGTGGAAACAACTATTTGGCATTTTAATATGGGGGTCACAGAACTTGAAAACAACACAATTTCACGTCGTAACCAGGGGTAATTATTTTTCCTTGAGAAAAGTGGAGGAACCTCAACTCACACAGCTGATAATAAGGTTACGTCCATCATCCTCAAGGTAACAGCAAGATCCCAAGAAAACTGATTGTTACATCGATTGCCTTAGGGCCTTGAAGGGCTCAGAACATAATCCCCTGGTTTCGAGGTGCAATCTGTGTTATCGCCTAGGTTACCGTAACAAGCAATCCAGTAAAACCTTTGCAAGGCCGTGAACGTATCATGCTCTCCTATCACGGTATCTCATGGCTTCAGAACGGAGCTTTGGAATATGTTGGCTGGCGATTTTAACGGTGTGGTAACAACTCACTTTTGCGTTCGAACACATTTGTTGGCATGCAATGATTATTGTTGAAAGATCCACTTTTACTGGGATGCGTTTAGTTCATTCTGTTTACGGACAAATTTTAGGATTTTGTAATATCGTGATCTGTGGACACGCACCACCCGGCACATATCGGATGCTATGTAAGCTGGGGGCTGTAATAAATAGGAAATAGCGACATCAAAACTGGAAACCAGTTGCTGTACACCGTAATGGATTGCCATAACAATACATCCAGAAAGTGAGCTCGTTTCTTCAAAACAGCCATTTGTCGAACCTTTGTATACTGCGAGTGAGAAGCTGAAAGATACTGTCAAGCTCCCTTATTCACGCTGCTCAGTAAAATGCTTTACGACGGCACAAATGGGAGCAATATTACAGATTTGCAGAACACTTGCCCTGAATGCAGTCATCCAGTTATGCATGCATGCTGGTATTTCAGGGAGATGTCTACGTACACGCATGCAAGGAGGCGATTGTTTGTACGGCGCCAGATCACGCCACGGGTATTGGCTACGTACATAACCAGCGCTGTTCTCCGAGGTACTACGCACATAACCAACGCTGTTCTCCGAGGTACTTGGGTTGTATGTAGGTGCCAATACTGGTTTTATTACTGAGCATGTTCATTTGCGGGTGCATGCTTGCACGGGTCCACCATGTTGGCATGCGATGGGCTTGCGAACTGCAAAATAACGAGGCGCTGTTCAGTAGCAGCGAGCCACGTCTGGCCTCGTGTTTGTTGCAAGTTTTTCTCGGTATCCACACCGACTACACTGCACGCAATCATAGAAGGCCTATCACGGCGGAAAGTCTACCAAGAAAGACTATCTTCCAGCTGTTCCAAAATAACAGTCATTGTCTGTCACAAACCGCGTGCGTTCTCAGGTCCCACAGAACACATCTGCTTCCATCTGTCATAGCACGGCGGCGTCCATCTGTGAAGCGCACCGGCGTCCAGCCACCGCACACATAAGCGACGTGCCTCATACATAACATACACATTCGCAGGAAAACGCAAGTGGTTCAAGTCCTCACAGCACACGGCTCTCTGTAGTCATCACAGGGCAAATCGGTTCAACCGTCACTTCACGCTAAGCCCTGCCTCCCAAAATGCATCCACGACCGTCAGTTACAGGCGCACACTCGTGGCCTCGCGTTACTCGCGCCGCAACGGTTCGTGCACACTGTGCCAAAACGCACGGGGCGGCTCAGCACATTCGCTTGTCGCATCGCAACAGCTTACCGAATGCACTTCTGAAGTCCTCGTTGTAGATGGTGTAGATGATAGGGTTGAGGCTTGAGTTGACGTAGCCAAGCCAGGTGACAAGCTCTGTCACCCTGCGGCTGGGTGCGGGACAGGACGTGCAGAACGGCACGATGGCGTACATGAGAAAGAAGGGCAGCCAGCAGACCACGAATACGCCCATGATGACGCCGAGGACGCGAGCCGCCTTTCGTTCTTTGGAGAGCGAGATGCGCTGCTTCTCCTCGATGAACTGGTGCACGCTGACGCCATTGGCTGGCTTCAGTGAGCTGCGTCCGCCGCTGCTGACAGCCTGGTCGCTAGAGGTGGTCCTCGCCGAGGTCGCCGCCCCGCCGTCCCGCTTCGGGTCCGACCCAGGCTCGTCCTCGTGACTGTTTGATGACTCGAGCTCGGCCACGTCACGCGGGGTTTGCTCCTCGCGGCCGTCCCGCGATACGTTCAGCGAGACAGCGAGCGTGCCGAGCTTACGCGTCCGCTCGCGCAGTCGTCGCCGGGTGGCGAAGTAGATCTTGGCGTACACCACGGACATAATGACCAGAGGGATGAAGAAGCTGCCGCAGGACGAGTAGACGACGAAGAGGCGCTCTTGCGTCAGCGTGCAGGGCGTCTCCTCGCTGAATTGGTCGGGCCAGTCGTTCCAACCGAGCAGCGGCGGCACACTGATGAGGACGCTCAACACCCACACCATGGCGATCATGGTGTTCACTCGGCGAATGGTGCGCTTGTTGGCGTAGTTGATGGGGTCGGTGATTGCCCAGTAGCGGTCGAGCGCGATCACGCATAGGTTGAGGATGGACGACGTACAGCAGAGGATGTCGCAGGTGAGCCACAGCTGGCACACGTAGCGGCCCAGCACCCAGAGCTCGAGCAGACTGTAGGCCACGTTCAACGGCAGCACAAACAGCGCCACCGTCAGGTCAGCCACCGCCAGCGACACCACGAAGAAGTTTTGCACCGAACGCAGCGGCCGGTAGCTGAATACTGAGATGATGACGAGCGAGTTGCCGACGATGGTGGCCAGAATGATGATCACGTGCAGCGCGGTGACTGCTAGCGTCTCCCAGAATTGGCGCGTGTCGTCACCGGCTGTCGCCTCGCCCGTCCCGTTGCCCGTCACGAGCAGGCCGGGGTGGGCCGTCCCGCCGGCGGCCGGGTCATCGGCGGACATGGTGACTGGGCGCGGACAGCCACGCTCCTGACGAAAGAAATGACGGTCGTCAGTCGCGCAGGGACGCCCCGCTGGCCTACCCCGCGTACCAGTGGCGGTAAGGCCAGTCTCGCATCGACGCGGGCTAAACGCATGCGCGCGCCAGGGCCAATGCCCAATGACAGCCGTCAGTCGGGCATGGACACCCCGCTGGCCTACCCCGCGTACCAGTGGCGGTAAGGCCAGTCTCGCACCGACGCGGGCTAAACGCATGCGCGCGCCAGGGTCAATGCCCAATGACAGCCGTCAGTGTGCCGACGTAGGACCTAGCGGGCTGCGTGTGCGACCAAAATGGGCCGCTCGTCGGGTGCTCCATTCATTGACTAGGCACAGCAACGGGACCGCTGCGTATTCCTGACAGTCCATTTGACTTTGCTTTCCTTGGGCTGTGAAATGATGCCCCTCGAAGATAACAACGCAATCCTCGCAGCGAGTTTTTAGACGGTGCCTATTCCGACTGAAACGCATTTACGTCCTGAATAATGATGAAGGATGTACATGTTTGTTGAAGCTGATTCACCAACTCCTTGACAGCGGACACCGCGCAAATAAGGAAATATCACCTAAACATAATTTCGCAACGAAGTGAAATGGGCCGTTTCAAACATGCCAATCAAAAGTCGAGTCACAAGTCGCTTCGTTTCGCAAAATTCGCACGTCGTTTCAACAGGTATGATAGAGGTATAACAGGTCTGATATATGAATGTATAAAATCAAGATAAGCGCATCAATGGCTGTCGGCGTCGATGACGCGCCTCCCTACGCAAAGGGAGAGTTTTCTGTCACCGCCGCTCATCTTTTACATCAACTCAACTTTTATATCACATCACGCAGTTTTCCGTCAACATGGAAAATTGCTCGCGTTGTTCCAGTTGGGCGACCGATTAGACCTGAACAACTTACCGCCCATTTATATCCCCTGCATACTTTCAAAAATTACAGAGCAGGTCGTCCGCTCGCAGTTCAATTCGTCCATTCTTGACAACCATGTACTGACGCTACCACAACATGCTCACCGTCCACGTCACACGACGCAGGACAGCCTGGTCGGCGCTGTAGGGTGGCTGGCAGGGACTGTCGACGACGGCTATGCCGCGTCGATAATGACGGTTGACCTTGACAAGGTTTTTGACAGCGCTGTACACGGCGTGTTCCCAAAGTAAGCTGGAATAGTGTGGGGTATCCTCGAATTGGTTTCGGGACTATCTGAATGGTCGGAAGCAAGTGGTTAATGGTGTTTCTGTCACAATGGCCCAGGGATCTCCCGTCGACCCAATGCTGCTTTGTATATTTATCAACGACCTATCCAACTTCCTTCGCCACGACCACCTTCTGTCCTACGCCAATGGCCTCAAACTCCTTGACTCCGTCGCCCGCGATGTTACCGGCCTGTTCAGCCGAAAGTCCGTGTCAAGGAGCCCATTCAGTGCCTTTCAAAACTGGTTTCAGTCAAACAGCCTTAACACGCCCCCGGGTGGTCGGTTGGGTACCCTTCGCTCGGAAGGTTCAATTTGACCTCTGAGATCTCAGAAAGTTAGAGAGCTAGAGACACCAAATTCACAGGGTGTGTTGGCCTGTAAGTGGGACTCACTTCGGTAAACAAGTAAGGTTCCTAGGTCATGACCTTCAACTGAAATAACGTCAGACAGGGTCAAACTCCAGGTTGGTCTCCTAAGTGTCCTCAGAACCTAGATGTCTGGTTTTAGTAAAGGTCACATGATCATTTAAGGTCAGTGACCTTATTTGACCTTTTTAAGGTCATGGTGACAAAAATAATACAAGACTGCTTCGAGGTTTGCATTTGATTAAGCGACAAAAATTACGCTAGGCAGTATGCTCCTAAAAACAAAAGGTTAACCCGGCTCATTCTAGGTCAGAGGCCTATTCTGAACTTAAAGACGTCTATGTAAGATGCATAATGCGGTTCCTCTTATCAATAAATTTGACATGAGCACCAAAAACTATCCCAAACAGCGAACGCTGGAGTAAAAAGTAGGTTGGTTTTGGTCTTGGTCTGACCTTAATATTGGACCATAGGTCCATGAAATTAGTTCATTTAGTTGTCGTGTTGCCTAAGAGAAAATCTTGGAGAAGCATGGCTTGGTTTTTAAAATCTCGGGGCCTCAAATTGACCCCACCCCACCAAAGGCAAGGGTATTCAACTGGCCACCCGGCGCCTGTTAATAACAAGACCCGCATCAGACACCGTCCATGGGCTTCTTAAAGGTGAGAATAGGTCGCTGACCTTACATGATCCACGTCAACATTTTCTTCTCAGGAGCGTACCACCTAGCGTAAGTCTTGCCGCTTATTCGAATACAAAAAAGCTGTCTTGTGCGCTTTTGGCCACATTGACCTGCTAAAGGTCATATAACCGGTCGATGCGTCCTGTATTCTCTCGTCTCTCTTTTCAATCTCTCTATTCTCTCTCTCATCTCTCTCTCTCTTCTCTCCTCTCTCCCTCTTCTCTCTCATCTCTCTCTCTCTCTCTCTCTCGCTCTCTTCTCTCTCTCTCTCTTCTCTCTCTCTCTTCTCTCTCTCTCTCTCTCTCCTCTCTCTTCTCTCTCTCTCTCTCTCTCTCTACTCCCTCTCTCTCTCTCTCTCTCTCTCTCTCTCTCTCTCTCTCTCTCTCTCTCTCTCTCTCTCTCTCTCTCTCTCTCTCTCTCTCTCTCTCTCTCTCTTTCTCTCTCTATTTCAACTGATCCGACAGCCAACTACGTGCATTCTACGCATTTTCTCATGACGCATTTATTTATCGCATATTTCCTCATCTTTCATTTATTCGTATTCATTTTCTTTATAAACGCGGTTCTTCGCACCACATTTCTTCACCTTAATGATTCTTTGCATCACACTATGCAACAGAGCTCTGTTTGCGTGATATTGGTACTAGTGACGACCTAACTCGTGCCGGTCCTTCTCGCGAGTGGAGCAAATGCCAATACCCACTCCACACCACAGAGTCCACCCGCATATTCAACAGCGATCTCGTGCTCTGGTGATCTCTCACATCTAATGGGCACATACGATAACAAACGACTCACCTTATATACCGTTTTCAGACGGAAACGGTCACAATCCAAAGATTCAGAAATGATGTGATATTACTCAAGATGTGCCCACGTTGACAGTTTAGAGACACTCACCAACCTGCGTCAGAAATCAGGGCCGTGTAAAACACGAAGAGGTCAAAGATGTGGTACTGGCGGAACCGGATTGGTGCGGCCAGTGTGGATCGGGTCAGCTAATCATTTGCCCTCCATTCCCATGTCCAACAACCTACAGGCTCCAAGCAAATGCCAACCAACCATCAGATGACAATGTCAACTGACGAATGTGCAGCAACGGTATGGTAATTTCCTTTGCAGATAGTCATACTTAGACATGCAGTCATAAAGGCATCTGGCCAACAAAGAGCCACAATGTCCCATCGATATTATCCTATCTCAAGTTCGTACACACCGAAACTAATCTTACCACCTGGCCTGCATGCGTTTAACTACAACTGAAATATGTGGACCGACAGAACTTGTTCAAACGGTTTTTGAATGCTACTAGAGGGGAACTTCCTACAACTTCGTTTGCCAATCCATTCCAGTGGTTCACTACTCTGACTAAATCACATTTGCCTCTTCCTAGTTCTACTTCTACCTTTTGCTAAATGAAAATAGTTTCCTCCATGCCTCGGCCTAATTTCCAATGTTCCATGCAGATCTACATCGTCTCTCCCTTTCATAATCTTGTATGCCTCTATCAGATCCACTCAAGTCTACGATATTTCAGTGGATACAGTCCAGGGCACTAAGTCTTTCCTTATAATCTTAGTCGCCAATCCCATTTATGCTTGATTCTATACCGATGAATTCTGATAATCACAACATTTGCTCAACAAATGACTAGTTAGTTACAAAATAACTCGCCAACAAAGGGGAAAAGATCAGTTAGTAAGACGTTTGGTCAAATACCGACATTATTGCGTGTGTTATAATAAAAGCTGTCTGGTCTTTTCGCTGAGATAGTCATGGAAGCTGGCATTCACCTGTGCTTGGAGTTGCTGAGAGAATTGCTGGAATAGAGAGGAGCCAAAAACACCGGTAAACACCGGGCTTGTTGGCAGCACGTTCCCCTAACCAGCCTTGGGTCAAATCTTACGCTGCAGGTGCCAAAAGTAAATACTTTCAGCCATAGATACAAGACCACCTGTATGCAGTAAATGGCCCAATTCACATGAGTGGACTCGGTATGTTCCATTCTGCAAGCTATGGCAGATCGCATGACTGTAACTGTAACTGTTACAATTGTAACTGCAAATAAGGAACGCTAGAGGTGTAGTTTTAATATCCAACTGGGTGAACCCAGTCCTTCCAGCCGAAGGAAGATGATGTGAAAAATTTGGGGAGAGATAATTTATTTACATCTCTTTGCAGCAGGTTTACCTATTTCCCTGCTCGGCCTCCCATATGGTTCTGAAAAAATGTCTCTGAGAAACACGTTGCTGAACCTAGAAAATCAATGCGTCTAAAATCACAGCTAAGACTTTGGCTCTTGCTGCTTCATTTGCCATCACTCCCTCCATATTAGATAATGGTTCTTGATAGATCTCAGCTTAATCATGTGCTTTATCCTAGTTCACACTGGATATCGGCAGGTTTCAGATTGAGTCTTGGTTCTCACTGGATCTTGTGATATAATGTGCGCTTGGCTATTCGTTCCCTCTGGATCTCTCGACATAATACCAGGCCGGATCTTGGTTCTTGCTGGTCCAACTGGCCTAATTCCAGACCAGCCTCTGGGTTCTTACTAATTCTGCAACAAGGAACCAGGACTGGATCCCGTGAAGAAATATTGGGAGCCAGGCACCTGCCTACTACCAGGCATCCACTTCCAGTAATATTTGCTCAATCTGGGGTCTTGCTCGAAAGCATTCTGCAAAACTTTATCGTTCGGCCGAAATACAATTCGACCTACGTTACGTTTTCAAAGACTGT